GATTATACGCTCGTACCAGGTTTAGTGTTGAGAAGATCTCCTTTCCATGTAGTGCATGTGCAAAATCTTCCATGTGTGGTATTGGATAGCGGTCTGATACTGTTTGAGCGTTTAATTTCCGGTAGTCGCCGCACGGTCTCCATGCGTTATTTTTCTTGGGCACCATATGTAGCGGTGATGACCAAGGGCTTTTGGAAGGGCTTACGATTCCTTCTCGTAGCAGCAGATCAAATTCGGCTTTGGCCGCTTTCCATCTGTCAGGTGCCAATCGTCGTGGCTTGCATGCTTCCGGTGGCCCTGGTGTCGTGACGATGTAGTGCATTGCGCTGTGTACGGCCTGTCTCTGTTGCATGGATGGCCGTGTTAGTCTGGGGAATTTTTCCAGTATATGGTGGTACTTGGAGTCTCCGGCTAGTGTCTTAACTGACATAACTGCTGAGTATGTGGCTGTGCCAGCTATTGATAGACCTGTCGTGCCGTCGATCAGCTTTGTCTTCCTCATATCCGGTAACAGATGATAGTGTGACAAGAAATCTGCTCCAATGATTGGTTGTGTAGTCTCGGCTATTACGAAACGCCACGACATTGTTCTTCTCAAGCCGAGGTCCGGTTGGATCGTCATTAGACCGTATGTCGGGATCACTGTCCCATTGGCGGCGAATAGCCGGTATGGTACAGCCTGCCTTGTGGGCTTAGCCTTGGAGGCAGGGTAGATGCTGACATCTGATCCCGTGTCTACTAAGTATTTTATTTTTGTGTTTTTGTCTCTTACGTACAGGCGGCAGGGTTGAATCGCCGTCGTCATTAGCCGCCATTAATGACCGCCTGTGGCGTTTTTCGGCTTGTATGTACACGGCTGTGTACATTTGCGAGCTTTCTTTCCAAAGCGTCTGTGGTAGAAGCATATTCCTGGTTCTTGCGGCGTTCTGGTTCCGGAACGACTTCGCGATCTGCTCCTGCCATTCTGCTGGTGCTTCATGGCTTTTGTCATCGCGCTCATTTGCGCCGTTAGCATTGCCACTTGAGTAGAATATAAAGGCGGTTTCTGGATACAAAAGTGGTGGGGGTAGGTCAAGGGTGGGGAGAATGTAGGTCGAGGAAGGATGGGGAGAATGTAAGTCAAGGAGGAAAGGTAGGGGGAATGTAGGTCAAGGGGGATTAATTAATTAATTAAGCAATAATCGATTGAATCATCAATTAATTGATAACAATTAATTGATAACAATTAATTTTTTTATCAATTATATTTTTC